ACTCCTATGTTAACTTAATAGTCACTCAAACTTAGTATGGAGCCTAAAAGGTATGAGTCGTCCGCCTGTTTTTAACAAACAGGGGCTCTCAACCACTACTCTTGCTAAGTTAACAAATTATGAGTTAAAAGCCAACAACATTGGCAATAAATGGAAACAACCGGTACCCGCCGCTTGTTATCTTTACTACTCAATTCCTTGGCGACTAGGTAATACTCTATTTACTTGGTCAGACCACTTTCCTACTTGGTTAAAATTACAAAAAGACAGGCACGCCTGCCTAAAAAGGATCCAGACAAAATAGTTCGAATACCGATTGAATAAATGGTCGACTGATCGTCTATCCTGGAAACAGACAACCAGTCGTCCAGGGGCATAGGCGGCGTACTAACTATCCGTACCTGTCTGCAACGTTCGGCCATGTACAACAGTCGGTCTAGTAAACAATGGGATATTAGATATGGAATACTTGGACAAATTTGAAGCAAACAAAAATTCATTGCAAACAAAAATTCATTAAAAATAAGCCGGTCATTAAAGACCAGCAAAATATTCAAAGCCCCGGCCCCCTGGCCGGGTAATTACAAAGCAAACGGCACGCAGGCCGTGGAAAGAATACATTAAGCTTAAGAAGGGGGCAGTTCAGTATTAGCAGCTGCCGCCTGGTCAGCACTCTTCTTGCTGGACTCGGCTTCAGCTGCATCCTTTTTTGATGCCTTACCCCCAAGTGGCACAAGCGCCACAACCGGCTCCTCCTCCTCCAACGCTTCTCCCAACGCCTCTTCTTCAGCAGCCGCTAGGATCTCTTGGTTATATGTTTCCGAACACTGGCGGTACGTTCTTTCCCAAGAGGCAAAGTCGGCATTGGGGAACAGGCGGCCCCAGGTCATGCGCTGGATTTGAGCGGAGTCTTCCATCATCTCCCGGACGAGCTCTTTCTTCTCTTGCTCGGCCTTTTCCGAGAGCTCTTGGGTAAGACTCTTCTCTTGGCTCACCAGGCGTTCTTTTACGCTTGCCAAGGATTTCTCCATGGCTTCGTAAGAGTACATTTTTAGGCGAAGAGGTTTCAGCTCGGCCTTAAGATTTGTGATGGTCGCCTCCAGCTCGTCATTCTTCTTCTGGGCCGCCTCTAACTGAGCCCGAACAGCGGCGGTAGCCTGCGCCTGATAATAAAGAATATCAATGGTCAGTACTTCATTTTGGGCAATTTGAAACATTGCCTTATCACAGTCAGAGGCGGCCGTAGCTTTTGCAGCCTTTACCTCTTTGTTCTTCTGATCAAGCGGCTTGCGAAGGCCGTTAACTCGGAGCAGGGCCTAAGTACAAAAAAAAAAAAAAAAAAAAACAGGCGTCAGTTTCCAAACAAAAAAGATAACAGGCGTCCTGGAATTCAAATACTCAAAAAGTATACCTCAGCAAGGACCCCTGCAATCCCATCAAGGTCAAGGGTGCCGACACCCCTGACCGCCTCCCTTTCAGATGGAGGAACTACTTTGATCATGGACTTGGCTACCTCTACCAAGTCAGGCCCCTGAGGGCCGGCTGCATCAAGCGTAAAAAAGCAAGTTAGACCTAGTCAAGAAGGAAGCAAGTGTAAAAGTTTTTACAAGTAATTGTCCATACTTCTAGGTGGCCCCGCCGGAGTTTTAGAAGAAGTGGCCGGCTGCTTCTCAGCCGCCACTGTTTTCCTGGAAGACCCAGGAGAGCTTGCAACAGTCGTCCTCCGGGCCTTGGGGTCCGGCTGTTGCGAGGAAGAAGCTCTTGGAGTGCCCGACTGAAAAAAAAAAAAAAAAAAAAAGAGAGTTAGTATATGCATAAACACTCCAAAAAGAGGGTGAAAGGTTCGGAGCTCACCAAGGGTGCCCCCTTGTTGGGGGAGTCGGTACAAGACTGTTGCATGAGAGAGGCCCGCAACATGGCCGCCGCAGTCTTGGATGCAGTTATTTTACTCATGGCGTCAGCTGCAAAAAATAAACATCAAAGTTAGTAAAAATCCCAAGTAAACAAGGCGTGAAAAAACAGAGTATTTGTCAGGCCGTCTACCTCTAGAGCACCGACTGCTGAGGCCACAGGCGGCCAAAAAGTACTCGTCATAGAGCCACTTGAAGCTCGGGACGCAGTTTAGGGGTACTTGCTCTCGTACCCCTGAAGTAGAGTTCACCCTAGTCTCTACTTTGAAGAGTCCTTTGTCTAGGATCTCTTTTTTAGCCTTTGGGGGAACAGGCGGCATGCTGCGGCCGCCTGCGAGAAGAGGCGGATCCCTATTCCACTTGTTAAAGCGTTTGTTCAGCTCCGTGTCTGAACCCTCGATGATAAGGAAGGTGTTCCGCCAATCCTTCCATTTGTTCGCCTTACCTCTCGTCATGAGGTAGCCCCTATGGCTTGTTAATTGATACCAGCCGGTACCTCCCGACTTAGGGGTCCGGCTGAGATAGTTCATGTGGGCGAAAGCCTCAAAGCTTGGCTCCACCCCGTACATTTTGCACCCGGCCACATAGCCGAGTACGTTTACCCAAGAGTTGGGGGCTAACTGCCATAACCCCAAATCATACCCATCTAAAATCCGCTGAACAACCGGATGTAATGGGAAGCGCAGTCCAGCTTTGATGGCCGCCACATAGCAGCCAAAGCAGCCGTCATCATAGCTAGTACCAGCCGGCCAGACAACAGTGTCTTCTGGATCCGGCACAAACACTAGAAAGTCGGGGCCCATTCTGTGGTTAGCTATAAAGCTCTCCACTTTGTCTTGCATGGCTGCGATCCGGCCCCGGGGTACCGTGCAGTAGTAGGGGGTGTTTTCCTCTCTGTAAGAGGCGGACGGCTCCGCCCAATTGCCCCCCTTCTCAACTGCATGAGAAAGCCTCGCCTCTTGTAGGCGGCTGTTTCTTTCTTCTGAGCCTGGAGAAGCGTGGCCAGAAGAGCTGGACTCGGACTCGTCCTCTGACGAGTCCGAAGAGGACGACTCCTCCCCTCTCCCAGAGGGGCCCGCCTCCTCTCCCTTAGAAGGAGCAGGAGGAAAATTAGACATATCAACGGTGAAATGGGAAGGGACCACCTTGACCCCTCCCTCAGAACTGTCGGCTTGGCAGCCGCCTCGTTTCACTTCTACATCTGGCGCCTGGTCAGATGTTTCACTAATGAGCACCCTTTGGGAGGAGCCGTCCGAGTTTGAGATCATACCAGTCTTTTTTGTTCTGGCCATCACGTTCTACATAGACACAGATACAGTCGGACTTTGTATAAAGGGCAAAGATGGGTCCAGAAAAGGGCAGGCGGCACTCCTAGTCCTAGATTCAGCCGTCCCCGGTGACCGGCTGATCACTAACTTAGGTCGTGTCGTGTGCTTCCGTGGTGCCATTTCAAAAAAATAAAAAGAAAAATTAAGAGTAAGAGAACTGACAGTTACCTGAACGAGTGACGGTTGATGAAGTTCTGAAAATCCTGTGCAGTCGGCTTGTCAGAACAGGCGGTAGGCAGAAAAGGTCCGAAATGTCAGAGCAAGTTCAGGGGTCCGAATGTTCTCGCAAAGTTCTCAAATGTGAAAATGACCGAAGTCAGCACTTCCTTATATAGGCAAAGTGAGAAGGCGAAGGGTCGCTTCCAAATTCAAAATTTGGGCGGGAAAATCTCTCGGCCATTTGCAAGGTGACACCTGTAGCAGGCCGTCGCCTGTCACCGTGCGGCACCTGTCACAGGTGACACGTGACCAGTCACGTGCCACCTGTGAGGGGCAAATGATTAGGGGATTTTTATCCACCAATCACCGTCTGACAAGTGGACCAACCAGGTTCCGCCACGTGTCCTTCACGTAGGCCAATAGGAGCCTGCCACGTGTCAATCACAGATACGTCCTCTACGGACCAATTGAGACACGCCACGTGTCCACCCATGCCAAATGGGAAAACCGGCCAACAAGGCCCAATCCTGTTTAGAGGCCCGGTCAGCCCTAGGTTTACCCTAAACCTAGAGAGTGGCACGCTTCTCAAGACTATAAATACTTAATTAATCCTCATTAAAGGGGATCAAGCAATTAATGACTCTCACCTAGAGAAGTCTAAACACACTAATAACCGGCTGATCTCGCTAACAAAGCAGATTACCAACATTAAACACTCTCACCTAGAGAGACCTTATTACTTTAATTTCCGCACTTATTACTCCTTAATCAAGTACTAACTTGACCGTTGGAGGCGGAGCTCCCAGGAGTCTCCGTTATTTTGCAGGTACAGGCGTCCGGTTCCAGTCTCGGAATTGTAACTCTCCCGCAGGACATCAGAAAACCCCGAAACAGTTACTATCGGGTTGGGTGCGGGTTCGAATTCAGGTCATAAAGTATTGGATCAAATCAGTTGTCGGTCAACATCAGGTTGGTTCAAGTTGGGTTACGGGTCACTAGTTTCACCCCATTGTTTGGGTACAGGTCAAGTTCGGATCATTACCGGTTCAGGTCGGATTCTCGGGTCGAGTCAATTTATGATAGCTCTATTCCCCATGTGTTGTACCAATAGTTAACATCATGAGCTTGTGATAGGATATATATTGGAGTCTAAATTGGGTGTAATGTGTGAATTGCTCACAATTTTAGATGTACCATAATCACACCCTAATGTTTCATTAGAAATCCTAATTTTAACCTTTTGACTTTCTTGGTTGCATATATCTTCAATCGTTAAAATCTTTGTATACTCCGTATTATTAAGTACAAATTATCGATATGGTTAAGGTTGATAAAGAAAATTTTAAAAAATTACTTGTATTTTGATGTTGTTTTATACACGGGTTTTGTGGATAAAAATGTTTAAAATAATCTTATTATTATGAAAAATTAATCTTAATTTAATACGAAATACAACTTGTAAAAGGTATCCTTGTGAGAGTGAGGGATCTAATAGTTCAAGTGCTTAGAACTTCCCTAACGGTCTTAGGAGATTATGAAATTAATTCTTATTGGCTCTCTAAACAACAACAACAACAACAGAGAAATTGGGTCTCCATCCTTAACATAGAGCCATGTTTGTTGACGGCAGTTGTGGTATGTAAAATTGGGAAATCAAAGTTGATTATTTTCCTTTGTTTGAGAAAATGGAAAAGTCAGAAGCAAAAGAAAGTGAAAATGAAAAATCAGAATCAATTGCAGTGAATGTGAACAAAAGCAAGAGCAAAAGGGACGAAGGAGAAGGAGAAGGAGGAGGAGAATTGTGGTTGTCAGAAATAGGGAAAGGTAGAATAAAAAGTAAGATAATAGAATTAGGAAATGGAAGTGAAGTTGAATATTACCCGAGATTTGTGGAGTGCGAGGATGCCTGGAAATACTTTGAATACCTCAACAATCAAATTCCATGGAATCGCCCTACCATCCATGTATTCGGGCGTTCATGCCTCCAGGTATTTTTATTTTACGAGTATTAATTATTTTTTATTTTCAAGACCTGATGTCTCATAAACATGGTTGCAGCCCCGTGACAGCTGCTATGTTGCATGTGAGGGAGTTTCCAAATTGAAATATAGTGGCTATCAACCTCATGCTTACCCTTGGCACCAATTCCCACCCCTTGTTCATCTTCTCCGAGCGGTATTCAAATCTTTTACTAATTTAAGCTGCTACTTAACATTGTTTGATTCAACTATTTCTTAAACATACTAGTATACGTTTTCAAGGTTGAAGATGCTCTTCCTGGAAGTCATTTCAATAGCTTGCTTTTGAATCGATACAATTCTGGCAATGACTACGTTTCTTGGCATTCTGATGATGAACCTCTTTATGGTCCCACTCCTCTAATTGCTTCCCTTTCCTTTGGTTGCGAACGTCACTTTTTCTTGAAGAAAAAACCCAATAAATCAGGTACTGCTACTATTGCTACTTTCCTACTATTCTTTATAACTTGTACTTAACTGACTTTACAATGCTGTACTAGTGTCAAAGGCGCATTCAAGTGCAAGCAAGCGGTTGAAGACAGCCAGCAATGCCGATCAGGATCAGCATTCCTTTTTATTAAAACATGGATCCCTTTTGGTTATGAAAGGCTACACTCAGAGGGATTGGATTCATTCCGTGCCTAAACGTACTAAACTAGATGCTATCAGGATCAACCTTACCTTCAGGCTTGTCCTTTAACCTTCCAACATTCATGTTTTTTACTTGAAGGGATCTTGTGTTATGGGCTGGATTTAAACTCCCCATACATACTTGCTGCCTGATTGCCTATCTTTTCAATTACTACATTGCATAATGTAGCTGCTTTTTTGTTCTAACTTGTATCACATTATGTACCTACTGTTGATTGGGAACCATTTTCTGCTTATTTGCTAGCGTATGTTGCCTTGTATTCCATATGTTTAGGATACGATGCTCTGTAAATGTTTTCCCTTGTGATGAGTACGGGCTTTCTATCTCTAGGAAGATTAATATTAACACAAATTAAAAACATTCTTGAAGCTTGTATACCATGAGTATGCTCCAGGTGAAAATGTCACCATGCGTAACAACTATGATACAAAGCTAGCTTTATTTTTTTAAAATTGGATTTTTCTATCTGCATTCAGCAATCTGCAACGAGTGACAGAACACAAAAATACAGCAGAAGTTCTGTAATACCAAGTTAATAGTTTGTTATTTTTTACATTATGTTTCTATGACAATTGTATTAATATGAAACAAGGTCAAAGCGCACAAACTAAGTTTAGTGCTAGCCCTGCTAGGTAAGAAGTTGGATGAGATTATATCACACAAATTTATTTAGTTTCATCAAACATACATCCACAAAATTACATCTCTCATCTAAAAATAGTAATATAATGTCCAGCATTGTAGGCTTTGTTGAGCAATGTTCGTGTTAACCTCTTTAATTGTGTGGCTCTTATTTGTCCTCTCTTCTCTTCTACTTTTTTTTCTCTCATTTTCATTCTATTGCAGATTAATCTCCTTTCTTGCATTCTAACTTGAATTTATAATAATAGTTCTGGGCATTCAGCAATGTTGTTACGAAGATTTATCATAGAATTTTACCATAGTATTATCTCCCTTTCTAAATTGATAACTTGAATGAAGCTAATTGCCTTCCAATACATAACTCCTATTTTTCTCTTCAGGTATGCTCATCTCTACCAACGATGTAATTAGAGTATTATTTATATCAACGTGCACATATTGTTTTCAGATTTCTTTTTGGTTGCTACTTGCTAATACAACCTTGATTCAATTCTTTTACAATGAAGGAATATTTTAACATATATATATATATATATATATATATATATATATATATATATATATATATATATATATATATATATATATATATATATTTCATACTTGTATATTATTATTTACCTGATAATATTTTTTTAACTGTAAGGATCTCCTATACAAATATGAGATAAAGCTTTTTTTTTTATGATCCGAGTGTTGTAAGAAATTAGAGTTACTCATTAAAAAAATTCACATGAATACTGAGATTTAATTGATAGAAGAAAAACACACAATCTGGAGTAGCATCCAACATTCTGATGCTGCCAACCATATGTCAGGTTGCAATTTTTTGTTGTTACGAACAAAGTTAGGGTGCATCATTAATTGATCTACCACTTGAATAAGTAGTTCAATTACCTAACATGATGAACATAGCAAGAACACGACAGAACTCCATAGGAAGCTCCCCGAAGGCAGTCGAAGTAGGAGAGATTGATACCAAAGCTCCTTTTCAATCTGTCAAAGATGCTGTCAGTCTCTTTGTTGAAGCATCATCATCGCTGTCTCCTAAAGCCAAACCTCTTGTTACCAAGAATAGTTTCAAACCTCAAGCACAGGTAATTTTATTTTTTATTATATTGTCATACTAGAAAGTTGATGTCAATTTGTTTACTAATAATTCTATTTCCTATGTGAAACCAAGCAGGTAGTGTTAGATAAGGAGGCACAGTTACATATTGCCTTGAACGAGCTGAATAGACTGAAAGAGCAACTTAGAGGAGCCGAATCCAAGAAAATCAAAACCATACCTGAACTCGACAAGGCTCGTAGGACTTTTGATGAACTCAATCAAAAACTAAAATCCATCAATGAATCCAAGAAGTCTGTACTTGAAAATTCAGAAGCTCTAAATGTTAGGGCTAGGGAGCTTGAAGAAGCAATATCGTCTAGTGTTAATGCTCAAGACATGGTAGATAGTGTACAACAAGATCTGGATGCCACCAGAGAGGAGTACAATGTTACCATCTTGGAGCTTGATGCATCAAAACAACTACTCAACAGCGTTCGTAGGGAATATGACACGATTTTAGAAGCCAAAGCCGCTGCTTTACGCGACAAACAAAAAGCAAATGCGGCAGCAGAAGCTCACCAGCACAGAGTCAGTGACCTCACCAAGCAGATTTCTAGCATGCAGGAAGCAATAGCCAAGATCAAATTTTCTTCTAAAGACACTGAAGAGGAGCACCAGAAGCTTTCAACAAATAAACGTGAGGATCTATGTTCTGATAAACTTTCCAAAGAAGAATTGGAGCATAAATTGCTCACTCTGAAGAATGAACACCAATCTCTACTGTCGGATGAAAATCTGCAGTTGAAACTTGTTGAAACTAAAGCTGAAATTTTATACATTGAAGAAAAGTTATCAAAAGCCCGAGCTGCATATTTAGAATCTCATAAAGGAACAACTTTTGAGCTTGAGAATGCTAAGAAATCACTAGAGAAGATAGCAGAGGAGAAGTCATCTGTTCAACATTCAGTTGAATCCCTCGAGCAAGAGCTAGAACATATTGGAAAAGAATTGGCAGAGCAGAAGCATAAGCAGAAAGAAATAGATGCTTTAGTCAACAAGCTTCAAGCCGAAGTAGACGATAACAAGAATGTACTTGAAGCTGGTGTTGTAAATAAAACAAGTGCAGCAGATGTCTCTGATGATACGGCCATATTGATTGAGCAACTGACACTGGAAACTGAGAGAGCTAGGCAAGGAACTCAAGAGATGAAGAAGGAAATAGAGGAGCGGAAGCAAGAATCCAAAACTTTCACAGAGTCAATAGCAGAGATGGAAAATAAGCTAGCAAGTTTATCCAAAGAAGTAGAAGAAGCCAAAGCCGCAGAAAGAGCTGCACAAGATGAGATTAAAGATCTTTCTGAAAAAGCTGAGGCTGCTGAGGAATCTAGTTCTGAAAGCAGTGGAAAGATTAAGTTATCGAATGAAGATTACAACTCTTTGATGGAGAAAGCTGATGAATCTGAAAAGTTAGCTGATATAAAAGTAACTGCAAATATGGCTCTGGTAGAAGATCTAGTGGCAAGCCAAAAGGAAGCAGCTAAAAAATATGAAGCTGTTTCAAAGGAGATAGAAGAACTAAAGATGAAGGAAGAGGAGGCTCTAAAGACTGCTGAAATGGCAGAGGCTGCAAAGAGTGCTTTGGAAGTGGAGCTGCATCGGAGGCATCAACCAGAGCAAATCAATCAAACAACTGAAGCTGAATTGGCACTTCAGAGTGATACAGAGGAACCTAATTCTGAAAATTGCCTTTAGTATCAATATCCTGTTCATAAGCTCATGTTATAGAGAAAAATATAATAGAATTTGCATGTTTTCTCATTGTTGTATTAAAATGTTCTTGTACAGCAATAAAAAATAAAAAATAAAAAATTTGTTGTAGCTTATGGCTGGGGAAGAATCTCTATATTGCAATTCAGATAAGTTTTCATTGGTGTAACTATTTCTTAAACTGAGCCAATCATGTTGGTTTTTGTACCTTCAATGTTACAACCTGATCCCACCATTAAGGAGCTGATGTATTCCCGGTGCTACAATCAATTTCTGGAATCATGATTCCCTTGAAAGCTGTCATCGTTAAGTGGTCATGAACCCCCCTAGTCATTCAAACCCCCTTATGCTATCTAAACCACCCCCCCCCTCTCTCTCATTTTATTCAAATCCCTCCTCATGTTATTCAAACCCCCCTTATGCTAACTAAACCCCCCTTCTCATGTTATTCAAACCCCCCTTATGCTAACTAAACCCCCCTTCTCATGTTATTCAAACCCCCTTTATGCTAAGTAAACCCCCCTCTCATGTTATTCAAACCCCCCTTATGCTAACTAGACCCCCCAAGTCATTCAAACCACCCCCCCCTCTCATGTTATTCCCTCTCTTATGCTAACTAAACCCTCCCCTCATGTTATTCAAACCCCCTTATGCTACCAAAGCCCTTCTCATGTTATTAAAACCCCCTTAAGCTAACATAACCCTTCTCATGTTATTCAAACCACCCTTATGCTAACTAAACCCCCCCCTCATGTTATTCAAACCCTCTTTATGCTAACTAACCCCCCCCCCCCCTCTCATGTTAATCAAACCCCCACTTATGCTAATTCAACCCCCCCTCATGTTATTCAAACCCCCTTATGCTGACTAAACTTCCCCTCATGTTATTCAAACCCCCCTTATGCTAACTAAACCTCCCCTCATGTTATTCAAAGCCCCCTTATACTAACTAAACCCTCCCTCTCATATTATTATTCAAACCCTCTTTATGTTAACTAAAACCTCCTCTCATGTTATTCAAACCCCCCTTATGCTAACTAAACACTCCCTCACGTTATTCAAACTACACCCCCCTTATACTAACTAAACACGCCCTCATGTTATTCAAACTACACCCCCCCTAATACTAACTAAACACCCCCTCATGATACTCAAACTCCCCTATACTAACTAAACACCCCCCCCCCATTTTATTCAAACTCCACCCTCCTTATACTAACTAAACACCCCCCGTGTTATTCAAACCCCTATTATACTAACTAAACACCCACTATGTTATTCAAACGTCACCCCCTTGTACTAACTTAACACCCCCATGTTATTCAAACTACACCCCTCTCTATACTAACTAAACGCTCCCATGTTATTCAAACTACTACACCCCCCTTATACTAACTAAACACCCCCTCTCTTATACTAACTAAACACCCTCTCATGTTATTCAAATTCCCTGATACTAACTAAACACCCCCTCATGTTATTCAAACTATACCTCCCTTATACTAACTAAACACCCCCTCATGTTATTCAAACCCCCCTATACTAACTAAACACCCCTCATTTTATTCAAACTCCACCCCTCTTATACTAACTAAACATCCCTCATGCTATTCTAATTCCCTTATAATAACTAAACACCTCCCATGCTATTTAAACTACACTCCCTTATACCAACTAAACACCCCCTCATGTTATTTAAACTCCCACATACTAACTAAACACCGCCAATGTTATTCAAACTACACACCCCTTATACTAACTAAACACCCCCTCATGTATGTTATTCGAACTACACTTCCTTTATACTAACAAAACACCCCCCATGTTATTCAAACTACACCTTCCTTATACTAACTAAACACCCTCTTTATGTTATTCAAACCCCCCCCCCTTATACTAACTAAACACCCCTCATTTTATTCAAACTCAACCCCCTTATACTAACTAAACACCCTCCATGTTATTCAAACCCCCCTCTTTCTAACTAAACACCCCCTTATGTTATTCAAACTCCACCCCCCTATACTAACTTCACATCCCCCATGTTACTCAAACTACACCCCCCTCTATACTAACTAAACACCCCCCATGTTCGGCGGCAAAACCGTTACCCTTAGGGGCGGAAAAACCTTTGCGACCCCAGGTTAGGCGGGCTACCCGCTGAGTTTAAGTATATCAATAAGCGCATGAAAAGAAACTTACAAGAATTTCCCTAGTAACGGCGAGCCAATCGGGAACAACCCACCTTTAAAATCGAGCAGCTTCGTCATCCGAATTGTAGTTTGGAGAAGCGTCCTCTGCGGCGGACCAGGCCCAAGTCCCTTGGAACGGGACTGCCAGAAAGGGTGAGAGCTCCAGCGTGCCCGGACCCTATCGCACCACGAGGCGCTATCGCCGAGTCGGGTTGTTTGGTAATGTAGCCCCATGTGGGCGGTAAATTCCGTCCAAGGCTAAATACTGGCAAGAAACCGATAGCGAACAAGTACCGCGAGGGAAAGATGAAAAGGACTTTGAAAAGAGAGTCAAAGAGTTCTTGAAATTGTTGGGAGGGAAGCGGATAGGGGCCGGCGATGAGAATCCATAGATGAGAATCAAAATCCCTGAAAATTGAAAAAACCCATAAAATAGGGACAAACTCTCAAAGATAGAAAGAACATAACAAAACAAACAAAACAAAACGTGAATAAAAAAAAAAAGGGAATCGAATTAGACTATATCCGGCCTAAACGGCCAAGAAAACAAAAACCCTAGAAGAGAAAGGAAAGAGAAGAAACGAAAAGAGAAAAATAACATGGAGGTGTTTAGTTATTATAAAGGGGGTTTAGTTATTATAAGGGGGAGTTTGAATAACATGGAGGTGTTTAGTTATTATAAAGGGGGTGGAGTTTGAATAACACGGAGGTGTTTAGTTATTATAAGGGGGTGGAGTTTGAAGAACATGGAGGTTTTTAGTTATTATAAAGGGGGTGGAGTTTGAATAACGTGGAGGTGTTTAGTTATTATAAAGGGGGTGGAGTTTGAATAACATGGGGAATATTTAGTTAGTTAGGGGGGTTCTATGTAGTTCGAATAACATGGGGGGTGTTTAGTTATTATAAAGGGGGGTTTGAATATTCCCCTTTTTCCCAGATTTCTTCACCTACAAATGGACCGGACCCTCCCCCCTCAAAAGAATCCACTCGTATGGCAACACGGGCTTCCCATGGTATTTTTAAGCCTAACCCAAAATATTCTTCTAATTTTCATGCAACCACCATTACAGATATTTCTCCCATTCCTAAAAATCCTGTAAGTGCGCTTCATAACCATAATTGGAAGAATGCAATGTCGGATGAATTTAATGCTTTAATTGATAATAAGACTTGGGAATTAGTGCCTAAGCCGTCTAATGTGAATATTATTCGTTCCATGTGGATTTTTCGTCATAAATATAAATCTGATGGTTCTTTTGAGCAGTATAAGGCTCGTCTTGTAGGTAATGGCAATACTCAACAGCAAGGAGTTGATTGTGATGAGACTTTCAGTCCCGTGGTCAAACCTACCACCATTCGCACGGTTCTCAGTCTTGCCGTCTCTAAATCTTGGCCCATTCATCAAATGGATGTCAAGAATGCTTTTTTGCATAGTCATCTCAATGAAACAGTGTATATGCATCAACCCATGGGATTTCGTGATCGTCACTTCCCTGATCATGTTTGCCTCTTAAAGAAATCCTTATATGGATTAAAACAAGCTCCTAAGGCTTGGTACGAAAGATTTGCTGATTTTGTTGCCACCATTGGGTTCTCTCATAGTAAGTCCGATCATTCCTTGTTCATCTTCAACAATGGTACTAATATTGCTTATATACTACTCTATGTGGATGACATTATTCTCATAACTTCTTCTGATCATCTACTTAAGTCCATTATGACTCGTCTAGCCTCTGAATTTGCTATGAAAGCTCTTGGTCCTCTAAGCTATTTCTTGGGAATTGCCGTAACTAGGCACACAAGTGGTCTCTTCTTATCTCAATCTTAATATGCTACCAAAATAATTGAACGTGCCAGAATGTCTAACTGTAGTCCTAGCCCTACTCCTGTTGATACTGAGTCCAAACTTAGTGCCACCTCTGATTCACCCTACGATGATCCCACAAAGTATCGTAGTCTTGCAGGAGCACTACAGTATCTTACCTTCACTCGGCCCGATATCTCCTATGTTGTACAACAAATTTGTCTCCATATGCATGCTCCCACAAAAGAGCACATGAGTGCACTTAAGAGAATCATACGCTATCTTCAAGGTACTCTCTCCTTTGGGCTTCATCTCTACAAGTCCAATGTTTCTCATCTTCTCTCTTATACTGATGTTGATTGGGGCGGGTGTCCTGACACTCGTCGTTGGCTTAGGCGACTGTACACGGGGTCTCGAACTTGTCGGTGCGGACCTCGCACAGCCTCTCGCCTACCCAAACACTATAATATGACTGTCGCCACCCGATAACAATGGGGATAATGGAGCAGTGGTAAACTCATTGGTCCTCTGGGGGGGGGGGGTTCGAGAGATCCCGATGTGTAAGGAGATGATGCTTGGTTAGGTTTTTTTCATCAGAGGGTAGGTGTAAATTATACACTCTCAATTTCATTTTTTTTGCTTCATATATACTCATTATATCCATTTTTTCTGATTTATCAAAAGAAATTTAATTTTGTTGTTTGTGGATTATTATTATGTGTGTATGTATGTATGTATGTATGTATGTATGTATGTATGTATGTATGTATGTATGTATGTATGTATGTATATATGTATGTTGTTTTTATGGACATATAGAATTTCTACGGCTAAAATATGTTCTCACGGATAGGAAACTTCATGGTTTATACGAGGCAACATCTTATGGACAAATGAACATAAACCAATATGCATGGACATTGGACGGTGAAGATGTGACATCATTTTCCGCACATGTACTTTTGTTGGATAATTTCTTTGAAACGACGCTTTTGTTGTCGGTAAAACCTTTAAGGATACCCTAAAAAGGTTCGTGTGAAGGTTCGTATGTCATTCCAACATCTAAGTGAAGAGCAGTTCAAGCCTATTATTGTTGATAATTACAGGGATCACGAGCTAAACCATTTTTTTGTTTGAGTTGGACCATGCTCAAACCGATAAGTTAATCTCATTGTTCTCAGCTTCTCTAGTTAGACAAAGCGAAAGTAAGGTTAGACTATATCACAAATTGTGATGGTCTCACTATATAAAGGTGTTAAGTCACCGAATTTAATTTATGGTGTTAATGTTGATGCCATTAACCCAAAGCAGTGCTCGAGTTCGCATAAAATGTGATAGTACTAATCAATTCAACACATGTATCACATCGCATTTTATCTTTCTAATTTCTGAATTTATATCATGAGTAACATGCACACCTTATAGTATGATATATATGTCTCTACATTTGTATATTAATCATCGATCATACTCTAATCAAAGCTCTAAATCGATGTTGTTGTAGTCTCCACCATCTTTCTTCTTGTTCTTCTTCTCCTTACCTCATTGATATTGATCGTTGCTCGATGAGGTCAGTTGATTGAATTTTAAGTTGAGATTGGAGTTTTTGTTGATTGAATTATCTTTAGAATGAGAAGTCAGTCGAAAGTCGAAGAATAAAGGTGGAATTACTGCTGGATAAGAATGGAGACAATGGGTTCAACCACATTTTACTATATACGTCTCATTATGACGCGGCGGATGCTGGAAGGTGCATTGAATTGAGTAATTGATAAATGTTCTGTTTATGCCAAAAAAAAAATCTGTTTCCTCTTCTCTGTTATTTTTTGGTGGTGTTCACTGCAATTTTCTTGATGATAGTTGAGGCGTATATAGTAAAATGTGGTTGAACCCATTGTATGAGGGTTTTCAATCTATTTTGGTGAGCTGCGCAACTGAGGTATTAGGAGGGGATGAATGGTGGAGGATGGAGTGAATATGACCTTAAGGAAGATGGCCTTGATGAGTTATCTGCTAGAAGAATAGAGGACCTAGAACTCACGTTTTTAAGCCAAATATGAAAAAAAACCTCTGCTTCTCCTATTGATTTAAGCATGAATATATATATAGTACAATAGTGGAAGCAATAATATCCTAAACTAACTAGGAGACCTAGTTTGCAGGCTTAACATCTGACTCCTAACCCAAATTAAACTAGGAAATACAACTTTATCACACGCATAAAATGCAAGTGAATTAGACTACTTCAACACTTATTTGGACCTACTTAAGCTTACACTCATGGACTCCTAACTACGCTTATAACTAAATTACGTCGCAAATAATCGTTCTAAACTAAAATAACATAACTACAACTTGAATTAGAGTATTAGACCACTCGATTGTGGTCGGAAACTGGGCAGCAAGCATGTCTACTCAAACTAATCCTCATCACATACTATTTCACATATACATGAACAGAATAGAAGGAGATAATATGGAAAATTTTAAGTGATTCATATAAATAAGAATAGATGTACACTCATCATTCACAATTGAAATGGACGTAAGCATTTTCACATTGATCTTAACCTTATAGTCATAGAATTTATCCTCGAAAAATCTAGCTCTTTCTTTGTAATCTTCCGCAGTGATACCAGTTCTATCAATTTTCGAGCAAAAGAGCACAACAAAGTCCCTCCAAAATGGATTCTTGAAAGATCTTCCAATCGATCTCTCACGCTCTAGATGAACAGAGAGAAAGTGTACTGACAGAAGAACCCTAAGAAAAATTGATCCATGTGTACCAACCAACTATAGGAAGCAATCCCTATATCGAAGATTAAAGAACTTATGGGTTGGAAATATGAACAACCCTCCATACTTTTCTTTTTATTTTCCTTTTTCTATAATTTGCATGACTTACATCAATAACAAAAATGAGAAAGAAGAAATCCAAATTCTTCCAACCTTAATACATACATACATACATACATACACACACACACATACAATATATATACATCCATAAATACACACACACACACATTCATACATACATACAAAACAATGTTTTTTATGATCTTCTTCTAGCAAGAATTTTAATAAGAAGAAAATATAGGGCCTGTTCTTTTCAGCTTAAAATAAGTTCAGTTCATTTCAGCTCCAATAAGTTCAGTTCAGCTCCAATAAATTCAGTTCAGTTCATTTCAGCTCTTAATATCTCTTTTATAAACAATTCCTTTTAGGATTTCAGCTTAAAATAAGTTTAGTTCAATTCAATTCAGTTTAGTTCAGCTCTAATAAGTTCAGTTCAGCTCTAATAAGTTCAGTTCAGTTTAATTCAGTTCAGTTCAATTCAGCTTAATTCAGTAAATAAGTACGGGCCCATAGTAATCCAAAATTCTTATTCACCTTGTGCCACTATTACCTAGCTGACCTAATTCGTATTTTCCCAATCTCTTTGACTCTTCTCTCTCATTTTCCCACCTATGTCGAAAAAGGTGTTCAATTGCATGCATTAACTCAAGCCCCCCCCCCCCCCCCCAAGGAGTTCCGCTGAAAAGGTAGATTCTTTGTTTTATTTTTCTGAATTGATTGGAAAAGACTTTAATTGGTTGAGACTTAATGGTACATGATATATATAAATTGGAGATATGGGTCTCAAGAGAAAAAAAGCGAGAAGGAAGCTGCAGCTCTGCCGATTCAATTGTGGGTATTTTTTTTTTCTTTCTTTTTTATGCGAATTATTATAAGTTTTATTATTATTTATAATTTTTGTTTTTGGTTGTTGATGTAGATTGTAGCAATGAATCACTTTGTCTCCAAAGTTCCTAGGGCCCCTGCAGACTTTGGGGCAAGTGGTGAAGCCAGTGCTAGTAGGTCCCGTAGTAGGGCACGGTCCAGACCCCGCTCCATAGCAAGTAGTGGCCCAACACCTGAAGATCAGCGGAGGGCAGCTTTACATGGGGCCGTCAGCAAATTAATGCGACACCACAGGCTGGATTATAATAGTTTGGTTCAAATAGTACAAGAGTTTGATTGTCCAGTGATGGCTAGTGTTTTTCTGGACCATACTCCAACTGAGCAGATCAATTTGATCGTTGAAAAGTTTGGTACTGGTAGCATTTTTTCCCCATGTTATGTTTTATCAATTTTCAAATTATTTTCAGTTTTCTATAATCATTGATATTGGTTCAGGGTCTTTCGGTTGCTCCAAGTCATTTGGGATTTCTAATTTCGATATTTCCTTTTTTTGGCTTTATCTATTTTGTACAGATGTCCTGACTGCTAATGCTCATGGAGTTCACTAGGCTAGCATGGTGGAGGTAAGTAGTACTCTCTTAGATTAGGAGTACTATGATTTTTGTTAAGATTATAGGTTAGAAATCATCATTAGGGTCCTCGTTAGGGTCAATATTGATTTTTTTTTATGATTCTTATGTCTGATTTTTTGTGAAATATATGATGTTTTATGTGTTAAAAATTACAAAATGTTGATGGTTATGTTTGATTAATGAAAACTAAGTGAGACTTTAGGAATCAAAATCACTCAAACACATGTTTGGAAAAGAACCACAGGCTGCATAATTGCTTCCACCATAGCACAACATCAAAATAAGCATCATATCAAGCATGACAGTAAACTGGAGCTCAACTGCAGACCTGAAATTCAAAAGAAAGCCCACAAGGCTCTGAAAAGCCGAACCTTTAAAAACCCCACAACTAATTGAACCTAGATCAACAGCCAAATCCAAGATGCTATAGTCTAACTCACCTCCACCCAGCTGACCACAACCTGTGTAGAATCTGCCAACACAACCACTGCAGCTCAACCACTGATGCCATTAGCATGATGCCTACCCATGTTGCTGCTACACCACCCAGCAGCAGAAAACAACAACCCCATCTGCAGATTTAAACCCCAGTCTACAGACCCCCCCCCCCAAAAAAAAAAAAAAAACACCTGCTGCAGGTCATTAGACCACAACCAAAACCACAAGCATCAGTTGAATCCACTGACTTGACCAGCAGCCCCCTGCATA